GTAGCAAAAGAAAATTGTTCAAAACAGATGTTTTCCACCTGATCCCATAGTCTCCTCTTCCTCTAAAAACCAGCCGCTTCTTCCCTTGACGGACATTTATGGTTTCTAACTGAGCTCTTGTCTCCTGATTTGTGAATCTAATTTGCACCAAAACAATAACTGCATTTTTTAAATCCTCACCTTTGATTTTTAAAATTTTCTCCTCTAAGATTTCACATGGTATACATGGTATTCTTCTCTTCTGTTTCTATTTCTTGCCCTTCCTCTGATAAGTGGTCTCCAACGCACACATCTGGGTTACTAATGACCTGTACACATTCTGGCTCCTTAACCCTGGTCCCAGCCACCACAATGCCCTCCCCTGGGTCTCTAACACAGACTGTAAACTCCACCCCAAAAGCTTTCTTCCCTGTGGCAGGCATCCTCTGAGATGTCGGTGCGTGTAAGAGACACTCAAGTTCAAGTTGCTTTTTCTGAAAAGCACTGACTCCTTACTTGAGTCCACAAACTAACTAAAAACAGGAAAAGCTTGGCATCTTTGTGTCCATTTTGTATCTGTCTTTGCTCTGAGCCATTCTCTTTACAGTCATTTCACAATCACCTGGGATTCCAGAAAGTACAGAACTGACAACATCTTTATGACAAGGGACTAAAACTTCCCATCAGGAACAGTGGAATATGCAGGACAGACCACCCCTCCAAATGAGGACAATTACCTATAATGATGAGGCTGCACCCTGCAGCAGGAGTAATCATCTCATGGGAATCATACTGCTCCCTCAAGTGATGACAGTGATAACAACTTCTCCCTAACCGGTCTGGGAACACTTGGACTGAGATAATGGTCAACCAGAACACACCTGTGACTGAACTGTTTAACTATGCACACCTTTGTTCCCTACCCCCAGTTCTTTTGTCTACTTAAACCTATAGCTCAAGTCTGTACCTTAAAGATGGCTGAAGATGACCTGAGTGCTTACTCTGCCTCTTCCCATGGCATGTCCTGAGCCATGTAATAAACTCCTTTCTCTGCCTCATGCCTCTTTATTTGGCATTTAGGGGCAGGTGGCTGGACCTGGTATATGGAATCTCAGGAGTTTGGGCCTTGGGTCCAAAACTCTGGTTTCATTGGGAGCTTCCACTTCTTTAACTTTCTAGCAGGCAAAGATGTTTTTCTGACATCCCAAGTTGGAACTCTAAGAATGTTTTCCTGTTGAACCATGGCCACTGTGGTTTCCAATGCTAATGAAGCAGGCACATTAATCTCCTCTAGCTGCACTGGGCAGGTTCATCGGTCCAGGGGAAAACCAGCTTTCCTGCACCGCCCTGCTACCCACAGCCCGCATTCAAAAATCAACTCTCAAACTACCTTTTGGGACCTAGCTCTTTCATAACCTGGGGACTATTAAGGTGTGTAAATATTTATAATAACATTGATAGTTACAATTAGATGTTCTTCAGGGAAGAAGTTATTTTTTTAGAGATAACAAATTTAATTTTACTGTAACTGAATCTAATTTCATTCCAGAAAAAAATAATTTTTTTTACATGAAAACACTGTCAGTTGGAAAGGTATATAAACATAAGTTGCCATTCCTTTTATTTCTGGGTTGTTTTTGTTTGGCCTTTCTCTCAGGCAGCAATTCCACCAAGAGGCTGTTGGCCTGCTCCCTCCCTGCCCTGCTTGTCACACCCCATAGGGTAAATTGGTTCATGGTGCCACAGTCTGCTGTAGTCCTCAGTCCTCATTCTCCTCCTGCTAAAACTCATTCCAGGGCCTCATGCTTGCTAGGCAGGCGCTCTACCACTTGAGCCATGCCCCCACCCTTTTGCATTGGTTATTTTGAGGTAAGATCTTTCTTTATGCCTGGCCAGCCTGGGCCTCATCCTCCTATTTGTGCTTCCCGGTGTAGCCAGGATGACAGACATGCACCACTGAGCCCAGCCCTTAGTTGACACAGGGTCTCACAAACTTTTTGCCTGGGCTGGCCTTGAGCCACAATCCTCCAGATCTCTACCTCCTGAGTAGCTAGAACTATAGGTTTAATTTACCATGCCCAGCTGGTTGAAAAAAAAAGTTTTTTTGAGGTACTAGGGTTTGAACTTAGGACCTTGCATGCTAGGCAGGCACTCTACCACTTGAGGCACACCCCAGTCTAAAAGTACACTCTTGAGACGGGAGAGCAGCAGGCTTGAGAATGACAAATGCGCAGGGGTCCTAAATTTTGAGTTTTTATTGGTAGCTGTAGAATTAGGGGTCATTATTTCTTGGGAGGAGGCGGGTTTTTCTGGAAATGGGGTTATGTCCCATTAACATCTCCGTTAGGTGAAGCAATTTTTTACCCTGGATGATTGGACTGGAATTGTCATAGCACATGGGTAGGTGATGATTTTGTCTAACCACAATGCTAATGATATGTTAACTAGCCCAAGGATCACCTATCAGGCACCATGGCTGCCAACTTTCCACTCCCTGCTAACAGGATGCAGCTGTGTATCACAGGTTGTTCTCTTGATGTTAATGGACCAGGATGTGGGTGTTTTCAACATTCTCGGCATTGTTCTCAACCATCAAGCTTCTTGACTCCCTGCCTAACCTCTGTCACGCCCACATACCTCTCCTGTCACAGTTAATTCACAAGGGCTTGCTTGACCTCAAATTCCAAACACACATTCATTAAGATGTCTGTGATTAAAAAAACAAATAATAGAAAAAGAAAATAGCAACTGTTAGCAAGAATGTGGGGATGGTAGAACCCCATACACTGCTGGTAGGAATTTAAAATGGTACAGCTGCTATACAGAACAGGATGGAGGGCCCTGGAAAATATAAACAGAATTACCACGGAATTCTGAATGACTTAGTCATTCCACTTCTAGTAAGATAGACAAAATAATTGAAAGAATGCTCTCAAGGACATACCTGTACATCCCATGCTCATGGTAGAGGTAGCCACCGATGGTGAATGGATAAGCAAAATGTAGTATATCCTCTACACCATGGAATATCATCTCATCTTTAAAAGGGAGGAAATTTGTAAACTGTTAAACTTCAAAAAAAGAAGGAAGGAAATTCTGACATTTGCTACAATGTGGATGAAACTTGAAGACATAGTAAATTAAAGAAGACAGTCACAAAATAACATATATTAAATGATTCTACTTATATGAAGTATTTAGAGGATTCAAATTCATAGACAGAAAGCAGAATGGTGGTTTCCAGGGGTGGGGAGAGAGAATGGAAGTAATTGTTTAATGTGTTCAGTTTGGGAAGGTAAAAATGTTCTGGAAAGGGATGATAGTTGTAGAAATGATGTAAACATACTTAATGCCATAGAACTGCACACTTAGGAATGGTTAGGCTGGCGCCAGTGGCTCACGCCTGTAATCCTACTGACTCAGGAGGCAGAGATCAGGAGGATCGTGGTTCGAAGCCAACCCAGGCAAATAGTTCGAGAGACCCAATCTCCAAAAAACCCTTCACATAAAAAAAAAAAAAGGCTGGTAGAGTGGCTCAAAATGTAGGCCCTGAGTTCAAGCCTCAGTACCGCAAAAAAAAAAAAAAAAAAGGTTAAAATAACTGGGCATGGCGGTGCACATTAAATTCTAGCATTCAAGAAGCTGAGGCAGGAGGACTGGGAGCTCTAGGCCAGCCTGAACACTGTTTCAAAAAATTATTAAAATTGTATACTATATGTTACTAATATTTCACCACTATAGAGCTGGAGGTATTACTCAAGCAGTAGAGCACCTGCCTGGCAAGCACAAAGCCTTGGGTTCAAACCCAAGTACCACAACCCCCCCACACACACACACAGAGAGAGAGAGAGAGAGAGAGAGAGAGAGAGAGAGAGAGATGGGACCAATATAAAAATTCCAATACAGCCACTGGGTTTGGGGGTCATTGGAAGAGTACTAACATTAGGTTGAAAGATGTGCCCCAAAGAATAGTAAAAGAACTTAGCTTCTCCTCTCATCAATTTTTGCTATGGAGAAGCCATCTTCAGCGACATCTGAATTCTGATAATATTATTCAATACTTTACTGTGGTCTGAACACTTACTTTTGACGTGTTTTGATATTCTGAGACTAAAAAAAAAGCATAAAAGTATGTTAGGTCTTGTTTAAGATCCACCACAATTTTCATAAAATATGAAATTTGATGGCATTCATTTATCTCCCAGCCAGTTTTTGCAGAAAGTCCGTCTAGAAATACGCCTTTCCCTACTCACGCACTGGCACCCATCCCCATTCATCAACCTTCTATGACAAATCCATATGGACAGCATCTTCCCTTTTGAATATGAGCAGACTTCCTTTAATACCCGTGATACAGTGAAGAGTTGCTTGAACTAGGGGTGTAGATCAAGCAGTAAAGACCTGAGTTAAAACCCCAGAACCACCAAAAAAAATTACACTCGCTCATCGTGTATTTATCACATGATTTGATTCTGGGAATTGAATGCGAGAGGCAGTACCTTCCCACTGTCTTCAGAGCTGGGCAGCCGAACCGTATACACGTGGTCATTTCAAACAGAACATCCACAGCACACGGTAAAATGTACCGCTGCCTTTGAAGACTCTAACCAGTGATGAATACTCAAGTGCTGTTCTTGCCCACACCGGCGCCCAGACTTAGAATAGCTTTTAAATGTAGTTTATTTATATCCGGCCACTTTCTAAACTCGTGTTTCTGTTCCCATAAACTGCCTGCAGCGAACTCGGAAGAACCAGGCAAACTTCCCCTCGCCAGAGGAACATCCGGGACTTTAGGGGAAGACTTGCTTTTGGAGGGGGCGGGGTTTAGACGTAAAGTCCAGCCAGGCTCCACCCATTCAGCCTCGATCGGCTCCGCGCTCTGCTTCGGTCCGCCAGGGGTCGCAGCCTGCGCGAGCCGATTTTTCCTTTGGCGCGTGCCGGCCCCCGGCTCTAAAGTTCTCGCGAGAGAAAGCGCGAGGCCTGCCGGGAGGGCTGCGTGGGTATCCATAGGTTTACCCAAGATGGCAGCCTTGGTGGAAGAATTCACGTTGTCTACCGTCGTCCTGGGTGCCGGGCCTGACGGACTCCTAGGTGTGGAGCAGAGCGACAAAACAGACCAGTTTCTAGTAACGGACAGCGGCAGGACCGTCGTCCTCTATAAGGTGAGGGCGATAGGCGCGCCGGCTGTGTGAGCGAGGAGCCGCAGGCACGGGTTTTTCATGTCTTGGGAAAGAAATCTGGGGAGCAGCCCTAACAAAGACCCGTCTTCACTTGTTGGGAACGCCGAACGAGGTCTGGAATCTGGCTGCGTTGGTCTCCTGGAGAGGCATTTTTCCGAGTTGCAGGCGGCACAGCCTAGAAAAGGAAAGGGAACCTGTGTTTTCGCATGTCCCAGAGATGGCCTTGCTAAGGTCCCCTCCTAGGGGCTCTTTCGCCCTCCTGTTCACAGAAGGGTGGAGCGGAGGGTGATTGGCAGCAAAGGATGACATTGACAGGTTGGGAACATGGGTAAGCCCCGTGTCTGTACTCCTTATCTCTCTTCTTTGGGGCATTTTTTTTTTTTCATTTTGCGGTGAAGAGGCGGAGATTTGTTGGTGGCTGGTAAGAATCTTGAGTTCGAGTGACTTGTCGTGGGCTTCTCTGGTTCACACTCAGAATCCTAGAATCGAATCCCAGGAAATCCCCAGCCCTGCCCTGTTTTCAGCCTCATTCCTGGCTCAGCACACTTAACCTTGTTTTGGGTGGTCGTGTAGAAAGCAATTGTTTTGATCTGGGATGTTGAACATAGCTTTCCATGTCATTAAAAATGTAGCTGGAAGTTTGGGGGACAGATGGCCAAGAGTTTCTTGGAGTGTTTGTTTAGACTTTTCTGCTGGCTCTCCGTCTTCAGCTCGGCGTGCAGTAGATTTGCAGATACTGCACGGGAGTAGAGTGGCTGAATAGATGTGATCTCAGCTCTCCCTGCTGTCCTCTCTCCATGCCTCTGTTCTAGATGCACAGTGGCATCCATTTCTTAAGAACAAAATGTTCTTAATTTACCTACTTTTTCATTTTAGAAACTTAAAGTTTGAATTTTTTTAATTGTGGTTAAAGACATAAAAATTCCTATTTTTACTATTTTCAAGTATACATGTAGGGAAATGGTGTGCAGCCATCTCCTCTAGAGCTCATTTTCATCTTAACACTGAAATGCTGTACCTATTACATAGTAATTCTCCACTTAGAAGGCTGAGGCAGGAGAATCTCCAATTTGAGGTCAGCCTGGGGTACACAGCATGTTCCAAGCTGGTCCAAGATGGACCCTATCTCAGAAAACCTTTAAAAAAAAAAAAGTAACTATGTTCTAACCAGCCCCTGGCAACCACCATTCTTCTGTTTGACATGAGGTACTTCAAGTGAATGGAATCTCCAGTATTTGTTTATGACTGCTTTTTTTTTATTTTAGGAATTTGTGTAAGTATTGTGATTTGGTTTCCTTTTTTATTGTAAATCTAATTGCTTTTAATGTCTAAAACTGACTTCTTGAATATTGTGTTCATCTTACTTTTATTAGGTTTCTGATCAGAAACCATTGGGGAGCTGGTCAGTGAAACAAGGTCAAATTATAACATGTCCAGCTGTATGCAACTTTCAAACTGGAGAGTACATTGTTGTACACGATAATAAGGTGAGTTTTAAAACTTGCATATCTCAATATGTACAACCCAGTCAGACGTTGATATATTAACTATTTGTGTTTATTACATATAAAGAATAGAGTTCTTTTTAACTTGTGTGCTTTGATTTAAGGTTTTGCGAATATGGAATAATGAAGATGTAAACCTGGATAAAGTATTTAAAGCTACAGTAAGTCTTTTAATTTCCTAACGTATTTAGTTAGCTTATTGATGAAATGAAATCATTCATAATGTAGTATATGTTGTTTATCTTAATGCCTCTGGGAAAAGGAGCCTAAAGTTGCAGTTTTTCATTCTAGTCGTCTTACAATATATCTTGGTAACATAGCTCAATGCATGTGTTAATAAGTTAGAAAATGTAGACTGCTACTCATCAGATGATTTAAATTGTGAACGACTCTACTTACTTCCATGAGTTTGATGTTTGGAGGGTTATGTCTCATGAAAACAAGTGAAATTCCTGTGCTCTTAACTTAGCGTAGGTAAACCAGTCCCTACAAGGCATTGATTGGGAGGATCACTGTCTAAGGCCAGCCCAGGCAAAAAGTTAATGCCACCCCATCTTAGGCAAAAAAAAAAAAAAGCTGGGTGTGGTGGCATATGCCTATTATCCCAGCTATGTGGGAGGCATAAATGGGAGGTCATGGTCTAGACCAGCCTGGACATAAAATGAGACTCTATCTTAAAAATAACCAAAGCAGAAAGGGCTGGTGTATGGCTCAAGTGATAGAGCACCTGCCTAACAAGTGTAAGGCTCTGTGTTCAAACCAAAATCAACAAAAAAAAAAAGTTCGTAAATATTACACATAAATTGTTTTTGAAATAAAAATTAAGATAACTTTAATTTTTTCCAGTTGTCAGCTGAAGTGTATAAGATACACTCAATACAAGGGACAGAACCATTGGTGCTGTTCAAGGAAGGTGCTGTGCGTGGGTTAGAGGCCTTGCTTGCAGAGCCGCAGCAGACAATTGAAACTGTTATCTCTGATGGAGAAGTGATTAAGTAAGTTCCAATACTTGAACGGGAATTTTTACCCAAATGAAAATGCACTGTGCAGGCCAAAGCAAGGCATGTCTATAATCTGTTAGTCAGGAGGCAGAGCAAGGAACACTGAGTTCAAGGCCAGCTTGGTCTATGTAATGTGTTCTAGGATACTTTGAGCTACATGGCAAAACCCTCCTGTCTCAAAAAAATAACAAATTTTTTTTAAATGCACTTTTTTTTTTTTTTTTTATAACTACTTTGCCTTGTTCAAAAGTAGTTTTGGACCAGGCTCTTATGGCTTATGCCTGTAATGCTAGCTATTTGTGAGGCTGAGATTGGGAAGACTGGGATTTGAAGCCAGATAGGCAAATAGTTTGCAAGACCCCATCTCTAAAGTAATCATAGCAAAAATGGACTGGAGATGTGGTTCAGGTGGTAGAATGTCTGCTTTGCAAGCATGAAGCCTTGAGTTCAAACCCCAATCCCCTCCAAAAAAAAAAAAAAAGTAACTTTGTTTATAAACTTAATAAAAGTAACCTAGAGCTAGTGGTATAACTCAGTAAGCTCTGGGTTTAATTCCTAGCACTTACACACACAAAAGATAATAATTAAAAATCTTGTATAAGACACTGACCATAACATCTGGGGTGATAGATGATTGAGAAAACCATAATCACAGTCCAGTTCAAATGACAGGGAACTAGGTAGTCAGCTATTTCAAGATGAAATGGATAATCCCAAAAGACCAAACTCTTTTTTGGTTCTGTCATACTGCCCTGACTTACCAATTCAGCCTTTTCCCTGGGGAAGACTATCTCTTAAAGTCAAAGCAAAGACTGTACTCAGTATAAACAATGTAGTGGACAGCAACCAATTTTGTCTTACACTGACCTGATGCATGCCTCTCTAAGATGTGAGCAGCAGTTTGGGGAAAATCTCAGGGTTCTGATTGCCACTTTGCTACAGACCAAGGCTATGCTGCCTTGGTTAGGAGTCCTTCAGTATCCCTCTTTAGTTCCCTCTGGTGCGGGAAGAAGGTGATGAAATCTGAATGTTTTCCTCAGGACACTAGTCCCAAAAGTAGTTCTAAAGAAAAGGGGGGAGGGGGCAGCTTAAGTTTGGGAAGCACTTCAATACTGTCACCTTCCTCTTGGCACTACATGGTTCATGTTATCGTCTGAGAAGTTCAACAACCTGTCGTTAATCCAGAGATGCATTGGACACAGAAATGCCAGCTGACTCCTTGCTTCATGAATTTGAAAGTCATCCTTGCATAGGGGCCATGCTATTCTTCTCTGTTGTTTCGATTTTAGTGTATGTGCTGCCAAAATGAGCACAGTGCAGTATATATTTTGAAATACTTAATTAGGTGTTCTCTGATGTGTTTCTGGCTCCAAAATAAAAATAGATGTTTTCTTAAGTTTTGATAGATAGGGTGTTCATCTTAACTGATTTTTTGCATTTTGTAATTTTTCTTTTTCTTTTTAAGGTGGACAAAGTTTTTCCTAGCATATAGGCATCCTGTTTTAATTTTTATTACTGAAAAAGTAAGTGACATCTTCAACTTCTAGGCTACTTTGTGAAATTTTAAAGTCACCAGTATTATTTTCACAACTAAAATGGAATTTTAATATTTATTTTCTTTATCTTTTTTAAACAGTAAAACGTCTAGTTATAATTATTTCTGTGCCTAAATTGAACAAATATTTTCGTAACAGTTTAAGTTTAATTGGACAAGAGATTTTAAGAACTTACTGTAGTAATTAGAATGGAACAACTACTTCTCGTTTTAGCATTTGTTTCGTTTTTGGTGGTACTGGGATTTGAACTCAGGGCCTGTGCTTGCTAGATAGTTTTAGCATTTTAATTTAGTTGGTTGAAATGTGAATATTTATAAAATAAAATTCCCCTTTTATTGCAGCATGGAAATTATTTTGCTTATGTACAAATGTGCAAATCACATAACTTAACCAAATATATACTTTTACTTGGACAAGAAGAAAAATCTGTTACACCAAACTTTTCTGCACATGTGGATCGAAATTTCATCTCTTTGATGTCATTAAGTAAGTTTTCTTTAACCATCCTGTGATTGTAAATAGGATATTATAGAATTGGATGTAGTTTTGAATCTTAGACCTTTTGCGGTTTTCTCTCAGCCCTTCCCTTTTCAGTCTTCCTTACAAGCATTTATGCCTTTATTTTTTGCACTTGGCTGTATCTGCTCATATATTAGATTAGTGAAGTATTTCAGGTAGAACATAGTTTTCAAGCATTGTTTCTATAACTTTTATGTCTTAAATTTACCATAACCAATAAATATCAAGAAAAATCACCTTTTACCCTAAAGACAAGGTCCAGGCTGTTTGATAGTGTAATTAGTGGACTATATGATATCTGGGCCAGGTATGATGGCACATGTCTGTAATCCCAATATTTGGGAGGCAGGGGTAGGAGGACTGCATATTGAGACCCCATCTCAAAAAGTCATGGGCTGGGGATGTAGTTCATAGTTAGAGCTCTTGCCTAACATGTGCGAGGCACTGGGTTTAGTCCCTGCACTAAAAGAAAAAAATCTGTGCTTGGCATTGTATGGTCCCTCTATTCCTTTTTCCAACCATTAGATTTCGGTGTGCCCTTCTTTGAACAGTGACAGACATAGGTGAACAAAAAGAAACTGACAGAATAGCTTTGTCCTATGCTAGCTGGCTTTCTATAGATTGTTTGATTTTACAGATTTTTTTTTTTTTTTTTGTCTGTTTTATTTTGCTTTCTTGCAGTGCTGGAGTCAAACCCAGGGCCTTGTGCATACTAAACAAGCACTCTACCACTGAGCTACAGCTCTAATCCTTACAGATTTTTTAATGCTTAGGAATCTGCCTCTGTGTGATGATCTATGCCCCAAGGGCAAAATCTGAAAAAGCCTTTGTGATACTCTTTCCTCCAGCCCTTTATTGCTTCTTTTGAAGTTGTTTTGAAAGTGTCAGCGAGGAGAAAACAAGTATTGTTTAGGAAACATTATAACGATTTAAAATCTGTATGAAGTTTTTCAATATGCACATCTGCAATAAGCTATAAAGAAAAAGGCTATCTTAGCAAGGTGTGGTGACACACTACTGTAATCCTAGCAGTCAGGAGGCTGAGACAGGAGGATCTCAGGTTCTAGGCCAGCCTGGGATATGTAGTGAGATCCTGTCTCAAAAACAAAAAAAAAGAAAGAGACTATGGTTGTCGGGATTCACTTGATAGTTTAGGCTAATAAACACTGAAGATCTCTTTGTGGCACAGCTGACCACCTACATTGCTGAAACCCAGTTGACCTACAAGAAAAAGCAATTTCTTGCAGCTTTCAGGGTGATTAAGTGACGACCAGGGATCAAGCCTTGGGTTTGCTCCCCAGCACCAAAAAAATAAATTCTATTAAAGGATATATCTGGTGCTAGTGGAGTGGCTCAAGTGGTAGAGCACCTGCCTAGCAAGCGTGAGGCCCTGAGTTAACCCCACAAAAAATAAATAAGATAAAATAGAAGAATATATCCTTTTACCTTTTCTTGACTTGCCTTGCTTATTGTGACATTTATAACCAGAGTAAAATGGGCTGGATGTGTGGCTCAAGCAGTAGAGTACCTGCTTTGCAATCACCAGCTTTGTAAGCCCAAAGAAGCCCTGAGTTGAAACCCCAGTCCCACCAGGGAAAGAAAAAAAAAAAGATTGTAATATTTAAAAAATTTTTTGTTTTTTTATTTGTTTATTTGTTTTTCCCCTAATGTTAGAGTTCTCGGTCAGACTTGAAAATACTTTTTCTTGGTGACCTTGATATCCCTCTGACCAAACTTGAGACCAGAGGGCATGTTAGAAAAATCACCTTAAAAAACTTTTATTAGTGTATATTAATTGTACAAAATAATGGGTTGAATTGTGACATTTTCATACATAGATATAATGTTATTTGATCAGCTATCACACACACACTCCTATAGTATATTTGTTAAGAGAAAGTATAGAGTGATGTGATTGTTGTTTTTTTTCAATTGGATTATTTATCAGATTGGTAAAAACTGATAAGCAGCCACATACATTTAACTATAACAGATACAGAACTGTCTTTTACCCATTATTAAATAGCAAATCTTTTTTTCTAACAGGTTCCGATGGATGTATATATGAAACCTTAATCCCAATATATTTGAATGACACAGAAAAGGATCATAAGGTAGTTAGTTCCCTGTTGCTCAAGACTGTTGTGTCTGGTAATGCTCGGAATGGTGTTGCACTTGCCATCCTGGATCAAGACCACGTAGCAGTCCTGGGACCTCCACTTCCAGCTTCTAAGGGTAACAGTCCAATTCAGAGTCCATGGCACCTGTCCTTCAAATTTTATTCAGCCCTCCTTTGTCTGTTTTTTAACTGGGTTGTTTGTCTTTTTGTTGTTGATGTGTGAGAGGTCTTTCTATATTATGGATATTAGCCCTATCAGACATAAGATGTCCAAGTATTTTTTTCTAATATCCTTTGCTATCTCATGTTTTAATTTTGATGAAGCCAGTTTTATCTTTTTATTTTCTTTGTTGCTTGTGACTTTGGTTTCATATCTAGGAATTCATGGCCAAATCCACGGCCAAATCCAAAGTCATGAAAATTTACCTCTTTGTTTTCTTCTACAAGTTTTATGAATTTAGTTCTTTCATCATATAGATTGTTGATCTTTTTTTTTTTTTTTTAATGGTGCTGGGACTTGAACTCAGGCCTACACTTTAAGCCACTCCACCAGCCCTTTTTTGTGATGGTTTTTTTTTTTTTTTTTTTTGAGATAGGGTCTCGCAAGCTGTTTGTCCGGCCTGGCTTTGAACCTCAATCCTTCTGCTCTCTGCCTCCTGAGTAGCTAGGATTACAGGTGTGAGCCACCAGCACCCTCCTTCTTGATACATCTTGAGTTGATTTCTGTATGTGATATGAACTAAAGAGTCCAACTTCACTCCTTTGTATGAGGTTATTCAGTTGTCCCTGAAACATTTGAATGGTCCTGGCACCTTTGTTGAAAAGCCATTTGGCTAAAGATGATTCTGTTCTGTTCCATTGGGCCAGTACCACATACTGTTTTGATTACTGTAACTTTATAGTGAATCTTAAAATCAGGAAGTGTGAAGCCAGACATGGTGGCAAATGCCAGCAATCTGTAGCATTTGGTTGTTTGTGTTTTGGTTTGATGGACTGGAATTTGCACTTGCAAAGCAGGCACTGTACCATTTGAGCCACATCTCCAGTCCTAATCCCAGCACTTTGGAGGCTAGCCTGGGTTACTTAGCCAACCCCTTGTCAAAAGAAGACCTGGCATGGTAGACACCTTGGTAATACCAAGAAAAGCATAGCCAGTAGGATTTGAGAATTTGAGACCAGACCAGACAGAAGCAGCAAGACCCCAGTCTCAAAAACAAAAAGGTTCAAGTGGTACAGCACTTGTCTAGCAAGGAGAGGCCCTCTGTTGAATCTCCAGTACCACAAAAAGGAAAGAAAAATCAGGAAGTGTTGAATCCTTCAACTGTTTCTTTTGAGACAGGGTCTTGCTATGTAGACCTGGCTGGCCTGAAACACACAGTCCTCCTACTTCAGCCTCCCAAGTGCTGGGATTATAGACATGAGCCCCCACACCCTACTCACTGTTTCTCGGCATTGTTTTGGCTGTTTGAACCCCTTGGAAATCTATATGAATTTTAAAATGACGTTCCCATTTCTGCCCAAAAGGCCATTGGGATTTTTTCACTGGCATGTATTAAGTTGTGCATAGTGAGGGGTCTCATCATGATACTTCCCATACGTACATATAATGTAATTTATCACAGTCATCCCACTGTTACTCTTGATGACAGTGCTGGCGATGGAACACAGGGCAGATAAGCACTGGACTGCTGAGCTGCACCCCCAGCCTGGTAGCATTTTGGTAGGAATTGCATTTACTCTTCATATTGCTTGGTGCAGGATAGCTGTCTTTTTTTTTTAATTGCAAATCCATATCCAGCTGTTAGCATCTCCCCCTCAGGTCTCACTTTCCAGACCACTTCTTGCTGTGTGCTCGCCTTCCTTTGAGTTCCTCTGCCCATCACTGTTCATTGCTCATTTTTATACTTAACAAAGCAGAACTTCTGTATGTACGTCTGACTCCTTCCCCTACCCCAAGATACCACGTATTTACAATTAAGACATTTCTGTGTTTGTCTAATTTTATAGAATGTCTCTCCATATGGAACACAAAATTTCAAACACTGCAGACTTCAAAAGAGTTATCACATGGGACCAGTGGTCAAGTAAGTTCTTCCACTTAAGGACTTTTCCAAATTTGGTTTTGGTTTTGGTTTTGGTTTGGTTTTTTGAGACAGGGCTATGAAGCCCAGACTGGCTTGAACTCAAAATCTTTCCTACCTTAGCTTCCAGAATGCTGGGATTACATATGTGCACCACTACACAAGGCCAAATTTATTTATTGTTTGGACTGGTGGAATGCCTCAAGTGGTAAAAGTGTCTGCCTAGCAAGCGTGAGGCCCTGAGTTCAAACCACAGTGTCACCAAAAAATAAATAAATAAAATTGCCCTTAGTTATTTATTGTTTTACCTGGTAAATATTCTGAGGAAAGAGAGAATATTATTAAAAATTATTTTACCTAAAAGATTATATTTAGTTAGGTTATCATTTTAATAGTTTCTGTATGTTGAGCACCTTCAAAAGACTAAATTACTCAAACTGTAATCGTAGCTATGTGGGAGACTGAGATCCAGAGGATTGTGCTTCCATACCAGCTCTGGTTATTTTGGAGATAGGTTCTTGCAAACCATTTGCCCTGGCTGACCTTGAACCTTGATCACCTGATCTCAGCGTTCCAAATAGCTAAGATTAGATCATGACCCACTGGTATTCAACAAACAAACTTGTTTTTTTATTTCTTCGTTCCCTTAAGCTTTTTGTTCATGTACCTGTGTTATTTTTGCAGCCTAATTACTGGAATTGTAAGATACAACATTAGGATCCAGATGCGTTGCACGCCTTTAACCCGAGTACTACGGAGGCAAGGGAATTTTGAGTTCAAAGCCAGCCTGGGCCATGTACACAGTTCCAGAACAGTCTGGGCTATGTAGTGAAACCCCATCTCAAAAAAACAAACAAACCAATCAAAAAATCCTTTAAAGTATGTTTCATCCAGGCTTGACTCTACCCCAGTTAATAAGTTGTACATAAGATATTCTATCGGAAAGTTGCTTTAATTTGCTTTGCTTATTGTTATGCGTAGCTTATGCAATAAGTTGTAAGGCTTTATTGAATCAGATCATAGAAGAGAAATATTTTGTTGACTTTTTTTTTTTTTTTTTTTTTGGCAGCTCTGGTATTATGGGGAAAATTTGTTTATGCTCCATGGAAAATTTCTAACTGTGATTCCATACAAGTGTGAAGTGTCATCATTAGCAGGTGCCCTAGGAAAACTCAAGCACAGTCAAGATCAAGGTAGAAACTTAGGCACTGTTTTGTTAATTCATTTTACTAGCTCCCAGCTTCATGTCTAGATTCATACAGCCTCCTATTTACAGAGCCTCTAATTAATTTTGAAATGTGCTGCTGTTTATTGAAACTTCCTTGACTTAGGCACCTTCCTTGGGAATGGCCCACATTGCAGGTGCTGCCACACCCTGAGGAGCCAGCTTTCAAGGCCAGTGTTCTTCAGACAGTATTGCTTCTACACACACACACACACACACACCCATTTACACACACACACACACACACACACCACACCCACACACACACACACACACACCCCATTTACCATTGGCCCTGTCTGTTGCTAGGTCTCAGTGGAATAACATGGACTTCAAAGCCTCTCTTGAATTCTCCACGAGCAGTTTATTTATTTTTTAATTGTATATTTTGTGTTTTCTTAGACACTCCCACCATGCCCCATTTTGTGAACTGGGAAACATCTCAAGGATGTGGACTTAGATCCTACAACTCAGAGCATTCAAGTAGAGTTGTAAGTTTAGTACTTGAAAGAGAAATGTTGGGAAAATGCTGAAAACAGAAAAAGATTGAATTATTTTAATGATTCACATCTATACAACTCTTACACTTTGCTCTTAATGACAGATCACTTGAGGCTTGAACCCAAGTAACCTCACACCTTGCTCCACAATTGGCATGTGTAGTCTATTAGTTAATTTTTATTGATGTGTATGGTATGAAGGTCCAATTTGTAATTAGCAGTAATATCTTCCTGAGTATAGAGATTTTATTTTGTGTTTAAAAAAAAAGCCTTAGCTGGGTGTGGTGATACATGCCTGTAATTCCAGCACCAGGAGGCAGGGGCTGGAGGATTGAAAGTTCAAGGCCAGCCTGTGTTATATAGTGAGACCCTGTTTCAAAAGCAAACAGAAATCTCTCAAAATTTTTAAGATACTTAAAATTTAACATAAAACTACTTTTCCCTATGACAAAATTTATTTTTAAAAGTATTTAATTGCAACTAGTATATTAGTCTCTTTGGAGAGTTTCCTGTTCTTCTAAATGCTTAATGGGTCTTTTGTATTGTTTGGAGATCCTAATCAGTTTACTTAATTCCAGTTAAGGAGGAAAAAAATTGAAACAAGTTTACAGCCAGAAGGTCCAGCAACTGAACAGCTTTTATCAACCATCAAGGTAAATCAAAATTACTGGAAATATAAAGAATCATTTCAAATGGTTAAAAGGAATGCCATCTACTTTTCTTTCTATTTTTCTTTTTAGTGCTGGGGACCGAACTCAGGGCCTTGCACTTGCCAGGCAAGTGCTCTTCCACTGAGCTAAATCCCCAATCCCTCTAGTTTTCTTAATGACCATTTTTACATCTGTATTGTAGTTTTAGCTTGTCAGAATTGGTTTATAACTCCTGTTTGCAGCTTATTATCTTGTTCATCTTGTGAGATGGCTGTTCTTGCCTTGGCCTCATCAGTATCTCATTGAACTGTTGAACTTTGCACTGACTGTCTTTATAGCCTTCTAAAGGTTTGGGTTTCTGAGCCAGGTTCTGGTGGCTCATGCATATAATCCTAGCTACTCAGGAAGGAGAGATCAGGAGGATCACGGGTTTGAAGCCAACCTGGGCAAGCATGAGGCCTTGAGTTCAAATCCCAATACCACCCAAAAGAAAAAAGATTTGGTTTTCAAAACCCTTGGATTTTTTTTCCCCCTTTTGGCACTTTTTTGTGTGTGTGGCAAATCAGTGTCAATTCATTTCACAGGTATGCTTGATTATTGTTAATGATTTGAGAAAATGTTCTGGGAGATTGTAAGTTCAGAGTGACATTTATAAATATGCTATATTGAATTCTTCACTTTTGCCCTTTCAGAAAGATTCAGAGAAACACATTGAAGTAGAACTACGTAAATTTCTGGCTAAGTGGACCCCTGACTTTCATACAATAATTGGGGACATAGTAACAGGACTTCTGGAAAGATGTAAAGCAGAACCATCATTTTATCCCCGGAACTGCCTGATGCAGCTCATCCAAACGCATGTGCTTTCCTACAGGTAGATGCTTATGTACACCAAACATTTTATGTATAACTCTTTCCATCTCGATTTTTGCAGTTTAGATTTTTTCTTAACATAAAAATGATTCTGAAAGCCAGGCAACAGTGGCTTAGGCCTGTAATCCTACCCACTTGGGAGACTGAAATCTGGAGGATTGAAGTTTGAGGCCAGCTGGGGCGAATACTTCAAGACATCCCATCTCCAAAATAACCAGAGTAAAATGGGCTGGAGGTGTGGCTCAAGTATATAGTGCCTGCTTTGTAAGCATTAAGCTTTGAGTTCAAACTCCAGTCCCACCAAAAATAAATAAATGAGTAAAAATGATTCTGTGCAAGGTATAAAGGTGTATGCCTGTATCCTAGCCCTCAGGAGGCTGAGGCATGAGGGTTGTGAGTTCTAGGCTAGCCTGAGATATATAGCAAGGTCCTGTCTCAAAACAAAAGGAAAAGAAAGAAAAAAAAAATTCTAAATTGTTTGGTTTTTGTCTTAGCTTGTGCCCTGGCTTAATGGAGATTGCCTTAGAACGAACAGATGTACAGATGTTACAGCTCTGTCTGCAGCAATTCCCTGACATTCCTGAGTTGGTTACCTGCTCTTGCTTAAAAATTTTCTTGAGGTAAGTTAGAACTCTTGGCCACTTTCTTTCACTACATTTTAAATCTCTTACATTATTTGAATTCTAACATTTTGAATGCTTAGAAAATGAATTTTCTTCCAATAGTTCAAATAGTGATAAGAATTAACCTCTTGCTTTCAATTAACATCATAGCATTGGTGATGACAGTCTTCAAGAAATTAATATCAATATGGAGTCAGTTTTTGATTGTAGTGATACTGTACAAGATGAGAAAATGGAAGAGAAAACTGAAATTCTTCAAAATGGCTTTAATCCCAAAGACAGTAACTGCAGTAACTGTAATCAGGAAAAGCCTCAGGATGCAACGAAGACCACCTCATGCCCTGTGACACCCAAGAGAGCAGCTCTGTTGTATCCTTTGAAATGTAGCATCCCTGCCCCATCTTTCCAAGGGCTGCAGTCATGCCACCAGTAACGAAGGAGTACTTAGATAAATTAAGGGTTTTCTTTTTCAAATATCTTTCAGTCTCTACTTGAAAATGCATGATACCCAATGCCATGTTACAGTGATTTTCTTAAACCTGTTTTCTTAATGGAGAAGACATACTGAAGTAGAAGCTCTACCACTTCTAAAAAGTAGTATTACTTATACTGGTGAAGTATTCCAGATGATTGCTAAGGTTAGGAGAGTGTTTGCTGATAGATTTCTTCTAGATAAGTAATGCTATTATGTAATTTAGCAAGGGAATTGTCTTTGTGTATTGCAGTAAGATTTCTCCTTTAGTCTCAAGTAGAAATGCGATTCTTCATTCAGCATACAGCGAGGCGTTCCTTCTGCCACACTTGAAGGACATCCCCGCAAAGCATATCACTGTAAGTGTTCCTGCAACTTCTGGAGAATTTTATTCCTGGCTTAAGATGTATCTCCTAACTGTTAGAGCATCTACCAGCTGTGAATAAACACTGCTAAGGAGAGTGGAATGATTTTTGGGTCACAGACCAAAAAACATGTTCCTTATGCCAAGTCTGAAGGCCAGGTCAAGTTATACATAAGTAGATACTAAAAAGAATTGCTGAGAGAAGAATTGTCTCTCCCTATTGATTTTTGCTGACAGAATAAGCTTATTGCCCACCCCTACCAAACTCGATGAGCTCCTCAGTGATGTTATTCATTCCTGTGACCCCTGACATCTGGCATATTTGTTTGATACATGATTAAATTGAACAGCCTCTTAAGATTCTTTCCAGTATCTCTACTAGATTTACATGTAGAGAAAAATCTTTCTTCCAAAATGATAAATTGTTCTTTGTTTTGCCTTCCAGCTGTTTCTCCAGTACTTGTATTTCTTATATCTGAAGTGTAGCGGGAATGCTGCCATGACTCTTCCTGGAATACGTCCTCCAACCCTGAGTCAGGTCAGCTACCTTGTCACTCTGTGCAACAAGGTCATACGCAGTGTCAGCGTCTCAGATTCGTAACTGACTTCTCCTTGCCTCTTCCAAGATGAGGAGAAGACGTTGTGGAAGCCTTGTCATGCACATACCCTGGAGTTGGGGCAGAGAGAGTCTCTCAATTTAGACAGAATTCGTAATTCTCTATTGCAGAATTTAAATTCCTGATTCTTAGCCTTATTAGGAGAGGACAAGAGGGGCTGCTAATAGGTTGTCTCCCGTAATATAATATATATATATATAATATTTTTGGTGGGGTGGGATTTTGAATTTCGGGCTTTATGCTTGCAAAGCAGGTGCTGTTCCTCTTTGAGCCACACCTCTAGTCCATTTTGTTCTGGTTATTTTGGAGTCGGGGGGAGTCTCACAAATGATTTGCCTGAGGTGACCTCAGACAACAATCCTCCCGATCTCAGTCTCCCAAGTAGCTAGGATTACAGGTGTGAGCCATCAGCACTCAGTTTAATAATCTCTTAAGAATAAGAGAATGAAGCTGGGTGTGGTGGTTCACTTCTTTAATCCCAGCATTTAGGAGGCCGAGGCAGAGGAGGATCGTGAGTTTAAGGCCAACCTGGGCTACATAGCAAGACCCTGTCTCAAAAAGCCAAAATAAATTTTTTTTTATTTGAGAAATAGGAAATATATTATAAATTAATTTATTGTGGTTTAGGAATATGTTATCCTAATTGATTCAAACATGTAATTTGACTTTTTCATTTTTTAAATAAACTAATTCATAGTTGAAAGTTTCAGCAATACCAAAAGTATCCTAAAAATAAATAAAGTTTGTATCACTGCTCTTCTGGTCCGTCTTAGAGATAACCAATATTAAAATACTCTTTTGTGTTTAGGAAGAATATTTCTAAATTCAAATGTAGCCTTTGTCTTTCTGACACAAATAAGATCATAGTGTGATTCTTTTTTTTGGGTCCACTGCTACCACCTGCTCCCTGCAGTTCACATCTTTTTTTTTTTTTTTTTTTTTTCCTTGTTTATTTTTTTGCCTGTTATTTTATTTTATTTTATTTTATTGTTTTATTATTCATATGTTCATACAAGACTTGGGTCATTTCTTCCCCCTGCCCCCACACCCTCCCTTACCACCCACTCCGCCCCCTCTCCTCCCACCCCTCAATACCCAGCAGAAACTATTTTGCCCTTATCTCTAATTTTGTTGAAGAGAGTATAAGCAATAATAGGAAGGAACGAGTGTTTTTGCTGGTTGAGATAAGGATAGCTATACAGGGAGTTGACTCACATTAATTTCCTGTGTGTGTATGTTACCTTCTAGGTTAATCTTTTTGTCCCACCTTTTCTCTAGTTCTGGTCCCTTTTCCTGTTGGCCTCAGTTGCTTTTAAGTATGTGCTTTAGTTTCTCTGCGTTGAGGGCAAAATGCTAGCTAATTTTTTAGGTGTCTTACCTATCTCACCCCTCCCTTGTGTGCTCTCGCGTTTTATCATGTGCTTATAGTCAATCCCTTGTTTGTGTTTTGCCCTTGATCTAATGTCCACATATGAGGGAGAAATACGATTTTTGGTCTTTTGGGCAGGCTAACCTCAACTCAGAATGATGTTCTCATTCCACATCCATTTACCAGCGAATGATAACATTGTTCTTCTTCATGGCTGCATAAGAATTCATTGTGTTAGATACCACATTTTCTTAATCCATTCGTCAGTGCTGGGGCATCTTGGCTGTTTCCATAATTGGTATTGTGAATAGTGCTGCAAAAAAACGTGGTGTGCAGGTGCCTCTGGAGTAACTGTGTCACAGTCTTTTGGGTATATCCCCAGAGTAGTATTGCTGGATCAAAGGTAGATCAATGTTTAACTTTTTAACGTAGCCTCCAATTTTTTTCCAGAGTGGTTGTACTAGTTTACATTCCCACCAATAGTGTAAGAGGGTTCTTTTTCCCCCGCATCCTCGCCAACCTGTTGTTGGTGTGTCTAATGATGGCTATCTAACAGGGGTGAGGTGGAATCTTAATGTGGTTTTAATTTGCATTTCCTTTATTGCTAGAGATGGTGAGCATTTTTTCCTGTGTTTTCTGGCCATTTGAATTTCTTCTTTTGAGAAAGTTCTGTTTAGATCACTTGCCCATTTCTTTATTGGTTCATTAGTTTTGAGAGAATTTAGTTTTTTAAATTCCCTATATATTCTGGTTATCAGTCCTTTGTCTGATGTGTAGCTGGAAAATATTTTCTCCCACTCTGTGGGTATTCTCTTCAGTTTAGAGACCATTTCTTTTGTGAACCGAGCTTTTTAGCTTTATGAGGTCCCATTTATCTATGCTATCCTCTGTAGTTGCTGTGCTGCTGGGGTTTCATTGGAAAGTTCTTGCCTATACCTACTAACTCCAGAGTATTTCCTACTCTTTCCTGTATAAACTTTAGAGTTTGTGGTCTGATATTAAGGTCCTTGATCCATTTTGAGTTAATATTGGTATAGGGTGATATACATGGATCTAGTTTCAGTTTTTTGCAGACTGCTAACCAGTTTTCCCAGCAGTTTTTGTTGAAGAGGCTGCTATTTTCCATCCGTTATTTTTAGCTCCTTTGTCAAAAAAGTTGGTTATAGTTGTGTGGCTTCATATCTGGGTCCTCTGTTCTGTTCCACTGGTCTTCATGTCTGTTTTTGTGCCAGTACCATGCTGTTTTTATTGCTATTGCTTTGTAATATAGTTTGAAGTTAGGTATCGTGATGCCTCCAGCATTGTTCTTTGCAGTTCATTTCTTTAAGCACCATGTTGTAGAAGACATCTTGACCTGTCCCCGCACACCTCTGGACTTAGACACTTAAGTTCACAGCTTTTTGCTATTGTAAACAAACCTTCAGTGGCATCTTTTATTCAGATATCCATGTATATTTACAGGAACAGCTGTCAGGTACATTCCCACAAGTGAAATTACTGGATGAAAGGGTGCAGTATGCATTTTTAGTTTTTACAATGCCACATTACCTTTCCAAAGTTGTATCAACTGCCACTACTACCACAAAGTTTGAGGTCTTATTTTTCACATTCCTTTCAAATTCCAGTTTGACCTGGTATTGTCAAACTTTTTACTCTTCTCCAGTTAACCAGGTAGCAAACATTACTGTAGTTTACTTTGTATTTCTTTGATAATGGGAAAGATAATGCACCATATTTTCTTGCCTATTTACATTTCATTTTGCCAGACACCAAGTCTCATTCCATTTTTCTATTGCAAAAATGACTTTTCTGACTTTTTCCTGACTTTTTATTTGAGCTCAGGGCCTTGAGCTTTCAGACAGGTGCTCTACCACCTGAGCCATACCCCAACCCTTTTTGTTTTAGTTATTTTTCTAATAGGATCTCATGTTTATACCTGGGGTGGCCTGGATTGTGATCCACCTCTTTATGCTTCTTGAGTAGGTGGGATGACAGATGCATGCCACCCTGTCCAGCTTTTATTGGTTGAGATGTGGTTTCTTGAACTTTTTGCCAGGGCTGACCTTTAATCTTAATCCTCCATTCTCTACTTCCCAAATACCTGGGATTATAGATTGAGCCACCATGCCTAGCCCCCCCCCCTTTTTTTTTCCTGTCATTTATCTTTTTATGCTTTTCAGTAGAATATTTGACATAAATACGTTTGTTTTTGCAGTACTGGAGTTTGAACTCAGGGCCTACACCTTGAGCCATTCCACCAGCCTTTTTTTGTGATGAGCTTTTTCAAGATAGGGTTTCACAAAACTAGCCTGAGGCTGGTTTCGAACCTCGATCTTCCTGATCTCAGACTCCTGGGTAGCTAGGACTCCTGGGTAGCTAGGATTACAGACATGAACCACCAGTGTTTGGCTTTTCATTTTTATTTTATTAAAATGTATGAAGCTTTTCCTTTGTGGTTTATGTCATGCTTAAAGCCCTTCCCCGCTGAGATTAACAAAACAGTCATCCTGTTTTTCTCCATCATGTTCATGGGTTCCCTTTGTGTCTTAATTCTTTGATAGATACAGGATTTATTTTGGTGCAGGGAGTTTCCTAGGAATCAGTTCTCCCTCCACAAATCTATGGTACACAAACCGTATCCTTGGGATATAATGTATCTTTCAGAATAGAGGGTAAGTGGGTTCTTTTCTTATAACTGCAGGAAATTATCAAAGCAAAATTTTTAATTTAAAAAACAGTATTAACTCCTTTGACTTTAAATATCTCTCTGTACTGATTAATCCTATGAAAAAGATATGGTTATGCTTATTAAACAAGTGGAAAAGAATCCTTTTATAAATGTCTTAGAAATTCCTCCATCTCTAAACTAAAATGTTCAGACTTCTATAAAACTTACTTTTCTTGGACTGGAGGTATGCTCAAGCAGTAGAGCAACTGCTTTGCAAGTACGAAGACTTGAGTTCAAACTCCAGTCCCATGAGGGGGAAAAAATTAACATTTTTGTAACTGTTTGAGATCATTATGGACTTTATACATGAATTAATCTAAAATTAAATTTATAATCTTTTTCTGTTTATCTTTAGATTATGGATTGGATATGCCTACTTCTCGATGCTAATTTTACTGTTGTCTTAATGATACCAGAAGCAAAAAGGCTACTGATAAATCTTTACAAGTTTGTGAAATCCCAGGTTTGTGATTAATATATACTGATTGTATTTGTACCCAAGTTATCATGTAAATTACAGTTTATTCTTGCAATTCGGTTGTACATGTGCTCAGTCATGGAGCATGTGCTTAATCTGCATGGTGCCTTGGGTTCATTCCCAACACCCCAAGAAATTTCATGGAAAAATCATAAGTGATTATAGAAGATTCATTATGTGTAGAAATTATGGGAAAAGTTACTCTGAAACTTTTTTCTTTAGATATGTGTTTATTCTGAGCTCAACAAGATTGAAGTAAGTTTTCGAGAGCTACAGAAATTAAATCAAGAAAAGAACAGTAGAGGCTTATATTCAATTGAAGTGCTGGAACTCTTCTGATGCTACCAGTTTTTCTTCAGTGATATTTTATGAAGCTCTTTTTATGTGAATCTTCCTGTTCATCCGGGAAGTTAAGTTTTGTTTTGACGGTCTCTCCCTGCCAAGAGGACGGTGTCACTGAGTACCTGGAGCACGGAGTACTGATGCACCTGGTGGGGCTGCAGGATCACATGAACCTAGTCTAGGTTGTGGACATTGCTGGAGAGAGCTTGTGAAACTTTTTAAAATATGTGACTGAGCTGATTTTGCTTATATTCAATTAAAGTGCTGGAACTCTTCTGATGCTACCAGTTTTTTCTTCAGTGATATTTATGAAGCTCTTTTTATGTGAATCTTCCTGTTCATCCGGGAAGTTAAGTTTTGTTTTGACGGTCTCTCCCTGCCGAGGAACGTGTCACTGAGTACCTGGAGCACGGAGTACTGATGCACCTGGTGGGGCTGCAGGATCACATGAACCTAGTCTAGGTTGTGGACATTGCTGGAGAGAGCTTGTGAAACTTTTTAAAATATGTGACTGAGCTGATTTTAAGTAAACTTATTTGTGTACTGATAAAAATGTAATTTCTTACGTGTTTTGAAGTTTTTCTTTAAAAAAAAAAAAAATAGGGCTGAAGGAGTAGCTTAAGTGATAGAGTGCTTGCCTAGCAAATGCAAAGCCCTGAGTTCAACCCAGTACCACCAAAAAATAAAAAGTAAAAATCCACCATTGAAGCTGTGCATTATTTGGGAAGCCAGGCATTGGTGACTTAGGTGTTCAGGAGGCAGAGATGAGGAGGATTGCGGTTCGAAGGCAGCCAGAGCAAATAGTTCAAGAGACTCTATTTCAGAAAAAACCCATCACAAAAAATGGCTGGTAGAGTGACTCAAAGTGTAAACCCTGAGTTCAGACCCCAGTCCGAGAAAAAAAAAAGATCAATTGGGTTAGAAAAATGTACTGCTAAATGGTAAAAATAGCCTCTTCTGAAAATAGTTTTACCAGTTGATTGACCATAGACTTACTAGTTTGAAGTGTTTGGACAAACATCAGGACACGAAAAATTCAGATGTGACTCTAGAGTGCAGATTTACAGACTCCTGATTCCTTGGTTTAACTTGTGTTAGGGAAAGACTTCATTTTAAGTTAAACGCTCAGTATCAATTTCAGCCATGACCGTCACAGCTAGCGGGTCCTTCTCTGGGTTTTTTGGTATGTATGTGGTGCTAGGGAATTTGAACTCAGGGCCTCACTTGCTGAGCAGGTGCTCTGCCATTTCAGCCATACCTCCTGCCCTTTTTTGTTTCAGCTATTTTTCTGATAATGTCTCACATCTTTTTGTTCAGGGCCAGCCTTGGACCTTTATACTTACAGTCTCCCAAGTAGCTTGGGTCACAGCACACACCACCACAGCCAGCTTACTGATTGAGATGGGGTCTCACTAACATCGGCCAGACCAACTTGAACTTGATCCTTCTGTTTACACTTACCAAATAGCTAGTTTGACAGGCACACCAAACTGGCCAGCATGTATTGGTTGAGATGGAGTCTCGCTAACTATCAGGAGTGTCTTTCAACTGCAATCCTGATCTTCATCTGTGAGTAGCTGAGATTATAGATAAGAGCAACTGTATCCAGTCTTCCTTTGTCATTCTTACTGCAGACTTGAAAGAAAAATACCAAAGTTGCTGGGCTTGGTAGCTCATACCTGTAATCTCAGCTATTCAGGAGGTTGAGGCACAAGGATTAAGAGTTCAAAGCCAATCTGTGCTACATAGTATGATCCTGACACAAAGAAGAGAGAGACACAATATATACCTGCTTATAATTCCTTTTTTTGTTTTTATTTTTTTGGTTTTGGATGGTACTGGGCCTTGTACTTGCTTGACCTTCTGTCACTTAAGCCACTTGCTCCACCAGTCCTTTTTGTGCTGATTGATTTTGAGATATGGTCTTGCTTTATACCTGGACCATCCTGAACAGCAGTCCTATTGTGCTTCCCCAAATAGCTAGGATGACACTGTGCGCCACTGCACCTAGACATTGGTTGAGAAGGGGATCTCAAAAACTTTTTGCCTGTGCTGGCCTCGACCTCTTCCCAATCTCTGCCTCTCATGAGTTACCACTTCTACCTTTTTTTTTTTTTTTGCTGTACAGTTTAAGAATTATTTGCTAGTGCTGGGTGTGGTGGCTTATATCTATAATACCAGCTACTTGGGAGGAAGAGATCATGAGGATCACAGTTGTAGCCCAGCCTGGGCAAAAAAGTTAGTGAGACCCCTATCGCAACAAATAAGATGGCTGTGCGCTGGTGGTGCACGCCTGTAA